TTTTATGTGCAAGAGGTCAGGGTGAGGAGTTGTGTGTTACTGTTGAAAGTCTGGCTTCCTAGGCAATAACTAAGCAGGTGCACATGCAAAGGTTTCTTCAGCTCCTGAACAGACTTCAAGGTGGGAGTTCACTGTTATGTTTTTTGCTAAATGAAAAAATGGGAAGGTGGACAGATTGAAGTAGACTGGTGGTTAACTAGATTTCATAAACACTTTTAGGCTTTATGTAGGAATTTAAAAGAAATGCCTAAGACAAGTTTATGTGTTCTTAGTGTCATAGAACTACTGTTTGCACTGAGCAAACTGGCTGGAACATCTGATTAAGCTTCCTGTCCTTGAGTATCTGGCTTTTATTCTGCTAACTGAATGAATCTGTGTGCTTGTTAACCTTGTTTTAAGATAGAAACTTTATGATATTTAACTGTGTATCCTTAATAGTGTTGTGTTCCCTCTGCAGATTTTTAAATAAAATTAATAGAGAACTGTTATATTTCCTCTTAAACTTCATGATTGTTAATAGGCTATTAGAAACAAGTCTGGATAGACTTTTCTCTCATTTTGTTCAGTTATTTCAGCAGTTGATTTAATAAATAAAACTTTGTAGATTGCGCATTTAAATGGATGTATATATAATGCAAACACACTAGAAGCTGAGTGAAATGTAAACACATAGGTCTAAAAGCAGTTGAAGCATCTTATGGCTACCCTTTGTTTTTGTTTTTTTTTAATGTGGGGGTTTCACATATGTTCATTCCACAAGGTGGCAGCAGATGACTTGCTACTCTGCTTTTAATTTCTGTTAGGTATGGATTACTTTCCACCTTTTTTGGTATTGTTGTTTATATGCTCACTTCTGTGTAGAGGCCAGAGATCCTAGTTTTTAAGCAATGGATTAGAAAATCTTTTTTACTATAACTTATTTTGGTAGCAGCTGTTCTCCTATGAATGAGAATACAAAGTGAATAACTTCCACTTCTAACAGAAGCTTTTGTAGCAATGACTGCTACTTCTTGGGTCGTCTGCTATTAGTTTTCTTCTCTTTGGAAGAGTGTCAACTAAAATATAAGCTGAGATTTCACCTAACACAAAAGAATGTTTGCACAATCCAAAATTGTTAAGCTTGCTTTGAAAATAGCAAAACTACCTTGCTGTCTTAGTAGATAATTATGATAATTAAATATAGTTAATATGGATATATATTTCACACCTTTAGCAGAAACTGCTCCCATGATGAGTTGCCATAAAATAAAATAAATTCAATAAAAGATATGCCTAAACTCTAAACTACTATATGTGCTTTTGAATCAGAGAGAGAAGATTCTCGTGTCTTGGGTATAGTCATTCAAATATGGCATGCTGTCATAGTACACAACTGCCTTCTATGCTACCAGGCTAACTGGATCTGAGCCTTTCATTTCCTTTGGTGGAGCTGAACTAGAAGTGGAAAATAGTACTGCTAATAGTGCTGGGCTCTTGTATGTTGTATCTGCCATGATGTTCCCTCTAGTCCCTGATCTGCTCTGTGTAGACCAGCAGTACCCCTCTGTAGTTTGTGCAGAGTGGCAGTGACACTGTGAAAATCTAAGTGCCATTATCTTGTATTAAAGAAAAGGGCAACCAAAATGATGTAGTGGCTGGAGCAACACTGTGAGAGATGGTTACAATGTTTGCTTCTCTTAGATAAAAGATGCATAAGGAAATATATGTCACAGATGTATACAAGTTATGCGTGAAGTGGAGAAAGTGGTAAGCCCAATATATAACCTGCCATCATCTAATGAAGCTATACGGTGGAGGAGTCAGGACAAATTAAAAGACTGTCTTCATACAGCACATAGTTAAACTATGGAATTTGCAACCACAAGATGGGCATGAAAAATAACACTAGCAATGGCTACTAGTCCTTCTGTTATAGGAAGCAGTATGGCAGTTGCTGAAGACCTGAGCGATAGTGCATTCATTCAACTTGTGGGTTTTCCACAGGTGGCTGGTTGGCCACTGTGTGTAAAGAATGCTGAATTGGAAATTAGTTTGATCCACCAGTGCTCTTCTTAAGTTCTTGCTATATCTTTGGGTGATACTTCAGGCCTAATATACTACATAATTATTTTTAGATGTAATTGTACATTGTCGGCAATTTAATTTTATATAGCTGTACAGTAAAATAGTTTTACTTACATTTAGCTCATCAGTAATGCAAACTTGTCTGGGATATATACTGGAAAGCCATTAATGAGGACAAAAACAGGCACCATTTTTTTTAGGCTGCTTCTGAGTCACCATTGTAAAGTAGCTAGATTGCAAAGGTGCTTAATAAATAATAAGACATTTTTGACCACACTTGATTTATAGGTAGAAGGCAATGGATGTCATCAACATTGAATATGATCACAGTTCTATTATGGGTAGGAAGAGATCCAAGTCCTAAATTTGTGTCAAAAAAGGCCACAACGTATTGCAGAGATTAATTCTTTAATCAGGTATCATTTTACCTTCAGGATTTTTCCTCAGCTTTGATTACCAGTTGTTGGTCTGATCCCTAATCTGTTATTTGCTATGCCCTAAGTTATATAGGTTTGTAGCTTGAGATCGGAACAAAAATATTGTAGTCCACTGTCATTTTCAGAGCCATCCATCCATCAGACCCTCCCATAACTGCATATCAAACCCAACCACAGTGTGTCTTCACTCTTCAGGAAATCGTAGGTGTACTTCAGAAAGGCAGGTGGAGAGCAAATGCATTTAGATTCCTACAACAAATGAGGCAAAAGCATGCACTGTAACGGCTCACACAAATGACCATCTAGCAAAAATACAGAGAAAGAAGAGTGGGGAGTTAAAGATTATCTACACTGCTCCTTCTGCTCTGTGTTGGATGAGAATGAGTCCAAGAACAGTAGCTCATTTCACCCAAGGGAAACTAGATATGGCAAACTCCGGCAAGGTATTCAAAATAAAACTCTGTTAGGACATCTGTACAGCAACAACATAATACCAATACCATGTATCTAGTTATGGGAATAACCATGGTTGTCATGGTTGTACCAAATGATTGGGGTAGTGAATCTTAATGAGGAAAGTTGGTCTCAATTGAAATGGAATGACATATTCTCTGTGCATTGTAAAAGAAGTCTTAGAACGGATAGAAGATGGCAATTGAAATGCCTATCTGAAGATAGTTGCTATGGGTGTAGTTATTGAATGATACTTGCAATTCAGATTAGAACCATGCTAGATTTTCTTTTTAGGCCTTTTCCATTCATGACTTAACCCCAATATGCTCTTGAAATAAAACATGTTGAAGATGAATCAAAAATACTTTTCAGGATAAACAGGACTGTTTGTGAGCCAGAGGCACATGATTTGTTCAGGGAAGGTACTTTAAAGGAGCTACAGTACACATTTTCTCTTTATTATCTTAACCTTTTTATTGTCTTGCAGCTTTGTGGGATAATAGTGTTTCCTATTCCTCATCTAAAATGCTTGTAGAATCTGGGACTTTATGCGCTCTGACTGCTTGCCTGATGTCTGTTGTGCAAACACTGTCAGTTAAGCTATGTTTGATGTTCTTCTTCCTTCTCTTTCTCCTCCTATATTTTTATTTACTTAATTTATACTGATAATTTTAATCTTATATTTGTAAATCAATGTATTTTTTGTATTTTGTATTTAATGGTAATTTATTATGTGCTATTGTATTTCATTGTATTTTATCGTGTTGTAAGCCGCCCCGAGGTTTCGGCAAGGGGCGGCATAGAAATGTAATAATAATAATAATAATAATAATAATAATAATAATAATAATAATAATACAGTCCTGTTGAGCAGAGTATGAGCTGCCCAAGTCAGAAACTCAGGCTTATGCAAAGCAATCGGAACAGAATAGGTAATCTTCACACAGAGATGCTCCTGCTCTGCATTTTTTGACAGATGGCCATTTTGCCATTTAGCAATGGCCTCTCAGAAGAGGAGAGAAAGAGGCTGGAACAATTTCAGGATATCTAATATCTTGGCCTTCACAGTCTCCTCCTCCATATTAAAATAGAAGGAATTGGAAGGTCTGTGCTACCAGGTATACAAATCATACATTTAGAGAATACTTTGCACTTGGAAACTCTCCATAGTTTGGAAGATAATTCTTTCTTGAGAATACAGTTGAGTTAATGGCTTATAATCCACTATAAAATGTCTTGAAGGAAGCTGTTTGAAATGCAGCCCAATTCAGTATGGAAAATGCACTAAATGGAATAATTTTATTTGAATGAACATATCTTAAAATAGAGTTGGTACATGAAAACATATTGAATTTCAGTTGCACCCTCTGCTATCTACTAATGCAAATTTATAGAAATACTTTAAATGAATCTTTATGTTGTGTCATTTTAATCTTGATGTCCAAGAGATGACTATAAAATGTCTGAAAGTTATAGTCTTAAGCAAAATGCTTTTAAAACTCATTTTAAAAATAGAATAATGGATGTTCAATTACTGCTGAGAAATCGTTTCTGATGATTTGAAGAACTCACTTTATCACATAACTTGGTTTTAGGGAGTTGCTACTTTGTCAAGCACCAATTAACTAGTTATATATGATTTACTAACTGCATTTATTTGAAATTAGAAAGTCCTTCAGTTATACCAGCAGAAATATGTGCTGATGATTCCTTTTTAAAATGTTGTACGTTAGTACTTCCTTCTGACTGTAGCTGTGAACTTAATTCCCTTGTTGTTTCTCTGTTAGATAATGGAAAGATACATATTTGTTGCTAAAGAGCTGACTAAGATTGTAGCCATTTTGAAAGCCCCATAAGGCAATGTTACATGGGTTTTCATATTAATACCAGGTTTCCTTCCCAAATTGAAGAATAAAAGTTGGTAATTCCATTTTTATTATTTCAACACACACATATACAGACACACCCATCTGAAAAGGCATAAACTCATACATGCCTGCTGTTAAAGTATGTTATGGTTTGTTCCCCCCACCACCTTTCTTTTAGGTCATATCTGACTCCTGTACGAGATGAAGAAGCAGAATCTCTTAGAAAGGCACGATCCAGGCAAGCTCGCCAGACTCGCAGGTCTACTCAGGTGAGGAATGATAATTGGAGACCTATTGAAATGGTGGGCTTTACCACATTTAATTTCAGTTATTTGACTTGCTTTGTGGGTTCATGTCTAGTGCATCCTAAGATGAAGAAATCCCTACCTATCCTTAAATACCAAATGTCAATTTTGATAAGGTTGTATTTATTCTGAAAGATATCTGGGCTTATTCTCCAAAGAAGGGAACTATTTATATGTTATACAAAGAGGAGTTTAAATTCTGGTTGTTAAGAGCTGAGTATACTGGATCTTTTATTTCTTTGTGGAAGGATAAATAAGAAACTTCTGTTCTTGGGAAGCAAAATTCACATGATGTTGCACTATAATGTTCTCCAATCCAGTGTGCTATGAAAGAAAATACTGGAATCAGCTATATAATTAAATCACCAATTTCTGATGCCTGTGACTTTATATTTAGCATTTCTTTCTTCTTTTAAAGAAATACTGTTTAAGTTATACTAGCTGAATGATATATTAAACTCTTAATTGCCAACTTTAAATTTACTGGGAATTACCTTTATTTAGAAATTAGGCATTATCATGCTTGATTATTGCAGAAAGGGTAACCTAATTTCTGGTGAGCTATGGATTCAGTGGAAGAGAATAATAGATACAACTTTCTTCCATTTCCCAGGGTGTAACACTTACAGATCTTCAGGAGGCAGAGAGAACCTTTAGCCGATCTCGGGCAGAGCGGCAGACTCAGGAACAGCCAAGTGAAAAATCAGAAAGAATTGAAGCCACTGCGGAGGGTAGTGAGAAACAGGAGGACACCACAAGGGAGCCCAGGGAGACACGCTCACGATGGAGTAGAAATGTGGATGAAGAGGTGAACAAAAACCGTTTTAGTAACTACTTCTTTCAACATTATTCATTGCTTTAGATGAGTGGCAGGCTTAATTTTTATGTTATTAAAACATTGGGAAAAATAGTAATTTGCATGCTGCAGAAATAGCGTAGTTTTCAGATATTGCTTTGATTTCCATTTCGATGTTTATATTGTTGCTCCAGTCATTAATATAGTAAGGAAAACAAAGCCCAATGAAAAAAGTATGATTCTGTTCAGAATGAATATATGTTATTTTCAAAAATTCTGATTGTAACCAGTCAAAAGAAAGCTGCATTTACAGTATCATAATTTTAAAACTTGATGAGTGTGTCTGGTAAATGCCATTTAAATAGCTTCTGCACATGGTGTGAGAGAGGATAATTACCTAACAACTTGAGAAGAGCTATGCTGGATTAGATCAAAGTGTTCCTCCACTACTGGCACTGAGAAAAATATCTATACAAGACTACTTCAGTACCATGTTGAAATATACCAAATTGTGGAAAAGTCAAAGTCAGTAGGGGATGCTTTTGCTAGGTTGTATATACATTATTGAGATTTCATGTTGACTGGCCTGGAATGCAAGCTTAAGGACTATAGTAGAGAACTCAGTGAAAACTTTGACCTAGCATGTAGATACTGTCGACAAGGCAAATTCCATATTGGAGATCGTTAGGAAAGGAACTGTACATAACTTGGTCAGTATAAAATTAATTTATAAAAATTTATGGTAGGCCCACACATGGAGTAGTGTACACCATTCTGTTCGCCTGACTTCAACAAAGAACAGAGAAGGAAACCAAAATGGTCAAGGGGATAGGGCATTCTCCTCTAAGGAAAATATACAACCTTTGGAAATGAAGAAGTTGAAGAAAGAAGCATGTGATAGCTATGCATAAAAATGTCCATGTTGTGCATTGGAAACTTATATCATCCAATGAGTTTGAATTGTGGGAGATGCAGAACAGATAAAAGGAAATACTATTTCACATAATTCATAGTTTGAACTGTGGAATTTTTACAAAACAAGGAGAATACATCTGGAAGGTATTCCATGTGAGGTTGATTCTGCTTCTATATTCATTTAGATTTGGATCTGTTTATTTGATTATATTTCTGTCCATAATTCTGAGATTTTTCCTGTACTTCAGAGTTTCTTTATTTAATCCAGATCTCCACCTTTGCTGGCTGGGGCATTCTGAAATTTATAGGCTTTTTTCTGTCTTACCTTGCATAGCATTTTGCTATAAATGGTTTAAATAACATTCATATTTCAGGCCCAATCCTAGTTAGACATGGCTTCAATTGAGTTTGCTGAATTTTCCACAGTCTAAATGTATATAAAACTATTCACAAGGTTGGGATGCATATAGATTTTCATCATGAGGTGAATTATTTTTTGAGGTTGTTATTTTCATAACTATTCTGCCCCATTGCTTAAATTTTCTGTAGAAGAGCTCTCTCGTGTAAATATTGGGAAATATGATCACCCTCTGACACAGATAAATGTTTTTGCTTTCATCCATGGTAATTTTAAACCATGATAAATTTTAGATTTGTTTTTCTCATGGTTGTTGTTACAGCAACAGTAGCTCCTGGCTCCTAACCAAAGTGATAATTCTTGCCTTTTCCATTCTGATTAAGATGAATATAATGAATTTATTTTGCATATATACTCTAATGCAATGATGGAGTAGGTTCAAAATGCATTGTGTTTAGTATCCTGCCAGTTGTAATCTCACATACTCTTGCTGATCTGAGTAACTATTGCTTATGCCCATGATTGTCTTCCAGCCTGTTGGTCGTCGATTGAGGTGCTCAGCACAAGAAGACAAACCTACAACACCCACCTCTCCTTCATTAGCCCCTTATCTTTATTCAAGTTCCCACCTGCCCAGGACAAGTAGATGTTTATCTTCTGATACAGTGAATCCAACAGACTTCCAAAGCACATCTACTGACAACATGGAAAAGAATGGTATTTACTGTTATAAACAGACTACGTTACATAAACCTTTTGGTCAGCATCTGCATTAAGTGACAATTTTACTAGTAACCCATGTGAGGAATACATCTCTTAATGGCCTTATTGTAATATATTTGGAACATTGAATCTTGAATCCTTTTTTTAAAAAATCTCCAGGAATCTGAATCCCTACATGTTCATCTGTCGGATAAACTTTTCTTTGATTCCACATCATAAATCCACTAACTTGGAAGACCTTCTGAGTTGGTCCTTTGGAATGTATATATTTAATATAGATTTTATTTATTTATTTATTTAAAACATTTCTATGCCGCCCCCATCACAACAAAGCCTCGGGGCAGCTCACAACAAAAACAAACAAAAGCATATAAAAATTATACAATAAAAATATTAAAACCCGGTGCATCTTGGCTTAATTTTTTTTAAAAAAAACCTACATAATAAATTAACAATTAGAATAAGTTTTAAATATTAGGCCTGAGCAATCTGCACACTGGCCACCTTCCCTTATTTTGAAAACACTTCCTTGGTTTGTCTGGCTCTTTTTAGTTAAAGCAATATTTCTTTGTACAGACCATGAAGATCAAGACTTGGATGACAAGAATTCAAACAAGCAGTCAGTTAGGGAGAGACGACGACCAAAAGAGAGAAGAAGAGGCACAGGAATCTCTTTCTTTACAAAGGAAGTAAGTAGTGCTGGAGAATGGAGACGGTACGCCCTAGCTGGCTAGAACAAGAAACTTATAGTTGCCCATAGATTGGAAGGTGTAGCATGATGTAAAAACTAAATATCCTAATTGTGTAAAAAAGGAAAATGCAATTTCTATACTATGTATAATGTCGGGTAGTTTAAAATACAGGGTTAATAATTTTAAAAATGCCACTAACATGTGTTATGTGTTGCACTAATTAAAAATATGAAATGGCAACATACAAAGAAACAACCAACACTCTTAACTATGCATATATATGTAAACAATCAGTTGACAAGAGCCCAGATAATATGTCAGAAATGACTTTTCTGACTTTTTCAAAAATGTTGATGCTCCTTGTAATCATTTAGGTTGCTTTGCCAATTATGTAGAAGGAAGCACAGTCAGTAAATATTCCTAGGTCATGCTGCTGAGACTAATACTTAAATATATAATCATTTACTTTCTGGACTCCAACAGACCTTTGAAAATTTACTGAAATCCTGGGTGAAATCCACCATTGCATGAGTGGGCGTTAGCTTGTGCACCCGCCCAATACATCCTCTAGATCTACTCCAAAGAAGCTTTGAAGTGTACATGGGTTGGTTAACCCCTCAGCAAACCAGATATTTGGATTCAGACGTTCTGAAACAGTTGAGGAATGTGGTGTTTCTGGGCTGTTAATTGAAAGTAAACAAAAAACGGTTCCAGCCCAAAACCAGCTTGCTTATTCACCCCCCGCCCCCCCGCAAAAAAAACCAAACTGGTTAAATAACCATGTTTGATTGTTCCTACTGGCTCTTAGCTTGAGGTCAAGTTATAGTTTGCTAAAACGAAGAAAGGAGAGAATTTGCAAATCTGCAGCATGCTCCTAATTGTTCAAATGATGGTTTGAAGAATAAAGGAACTCTGAGCTGTGACACTTCTAATAACTTTTAAAAGGATTGCTTTTCATAAAAACAAAGTTACGTCCTTTTCAGGAAATACAGTTTTGCACTGAACTGCTAGTAGTGAAAGTTCTAGGAGTTTTGCTTTGCTTTGCTATGTTTTATTTTGTTTTGGTCTGTTACTTGTGGCTGAAGCAACTATTTATCTAGGCCTCCAGGTCAGCTATACAAATAATTTCAAAGATTCAATTGGTGTAAGACTGGTAAACTGTATTTAGTTTTCTGATTTTACCTAATATTTTCTTACCATTCATAAAATAAAATAAGTGCTTTATTTGAAAACTTCATGGTATAATTTTGTCACTTTTTATTTCCTAGGATGAGGAGATGGATGGTATTGAAGAAGCAAAGGATGATCGGGTAAGCAGAGGATCTAAAGTTTATATAGTCATTTATTTTAAATTAACTTTGGTTGTAGAAATGCTCTCAATACACTTGCATTTTGAAAATGGCACATTAGAGTGAATCTCACTTGGAATATTTTTCTTCTCCCATTATAATCAGAAATGGCAGTGCTCAGGTATAATTCAGTAGCTTTCTTTATTGTTTATTGGACTGTAGTGGTCTGAACTTGGCATGTGATCAGTGTGTTTTCTTTCTTTACTGTAATGTTTTCTTGGACAACAATAGAAAATGAAGTTACGTCTAGTTTACTATGTCGAGATATTTGTATCAGAAATATTACATCCAAGTGTGACAAGTTTGTTTTTTCACCCAGGATGTCATGGTATATACTTTTGCTTAATTGTTAGGTTTGAGCAGGCAACTTTCTCCTTGTTTGTATCTTCAACAACCTAGATCAAATTAATACTTCTACCTTGTCTTAGATCATGGAAATTTGAAAGAATAAACATAGAACTCACTTCAATTTTGATTGGGATTGTTATTATTGACTTCTGGTATTTGTTGCAATGAAGTTAAATCTTCAAATGTCACTGAAAGTTTGCATCGTTGAGTGCTGCTGCCCCCCTTTTCCCCTCTGGCTGCAGGTGCTTAGAATCATTTGCCCTCATCCTTTGTGCTCACAGTCCTTCCCTTGATTTGTGTTCACTGACACTGATCCACTTGGTTATAGTCACCAGCATGATCTTGTTCATGAACATCAGTGAAGGCATTGCATCAGATTTTGCATCATTAATAATTGACAAGGCAGGTTGCAGATATTGCTGTGAAGAACCTCAAAATAATGCAAATGGATTCAAAAGTGCCGACCACAGGAGAATGATTTTTCACTTTGCAGTGATGGGGTGCTTTTATGAAAATTCATGTGAACTTAGATAAGTGGTTTTTATTCAGATAAATATGACCTTGATATGGTTTGAAGTTGTAGGACATGATTTGAATGAGCAAGTCATCTAACAGTTACCACTAGAGGGAGATTGTTCTGCAATTTCCTAAGTATGAAGTGACTAATATTTTCATACGGAGTTTACTTGTGAGAGTATTAGGTGCTCTTAATGATTCTGGACAAGGCTTCTTATGAAATAAATGCAAACAGTGTAGCTCTTCTTTTGATGTTAGCACAAAAACAAAAGTTGGGTAATCTTGCTTAGACTAATGTCTGTGGCTTCTCATTCCCCCTTCCCTGTCAGTTTTAATAGTTTTGCCAGTTGTTGATCTTGTGTTACATGTTCTTAAATGGAAGCATCCACAGAGACAGAATAGTTTTGGTGCACATACAGAATCTGGCTTATGTCAGATAGCTGCTGGCAGGGCAGGAGAGCTGATGAAGACAATTTTTGCCTAACCATGCTCCTGTTGTTCCATTCATTTCTCTGGGTCTGTCTAAAGATGGCACACAATTGGAGCTGCAGTTGAAGAATCATCATAAGAAACTTTGTTCCCTCCAGCAACATCCTTCTCTTGTGGTTCTCCCAGGCAGCATTTGTAACCTTGGCAAGCAGCTGATACAGTTCTTCCTATGGCAGCTGCAAGTAGTGTCTACAGCTTTCAAAGAATTCTGTCATCCCAGACTTGCTTTCCTGAAACCATAGGTTTTAACTCCTCAACTGTAGTCCTATACACATTTATTTGGGAGTTGCTTCCACTGAACTCCAGAGGACTGATTTCTGAGTAAACAAGTTTAAGATTGTACTTTCAGGAAAGGTGGTGATTTCATGTGTTGTATGCCATCAAGTTGTCTCTGACTTACGATAGCCCTATGAATTAAAACTCTCAAAAATGTCCTTTCCATGAGAATTCCAATCAGCTATTCCATGTTCAAGATTATGGCTTCCTTTATGGATTCAATGCATCTCATATTTGGTCTTCTCTTTCATCTTCTGCCTTCGACTTTCCCTAGCATGGTCATCTTCTTCAGTGAGTATTTTCTTCTCATGATGTGTCTAAAGTATGACAGCCTCCATTTTTTTTCATTTTGCTTCTAGGGAAAACCCTGGCTTGAATTGATCTAGGACCTACTTGTTTGTCTTTCCATCAATCCAGGGTATTCATAAAGATGTCCTTCAGCACCATGTTTCAAATGCATCAATTTTCTTCTTGTCAGCTTCCTTCATTGGCCACCTTTCACACTCATTCATTGTGATTAGGAAAATCTAGTACCAAGATAACCTTGACCTTGGTCTCCTGTAAAACATTCTTACACTTGATGATCTTTTCTAATTCCTCATTGCTGCCCTTCTTCATATTTCTTGGCTGTAATCGCCTGTTGAATTGATGATTGAACCAACGTATGTGAAATCTTTCAAAATTTTGTTTTCTTTTTTTAAGAGTAAAGTTCTGTAATTCTTCTTTCCTAATATTCAGCTGCAGTACTGTTTTTGTGCTTTCACTTTTATCAAGAGTCATTTGAAGGCATTGCTCCTTTCTGCCAGTAGTATGCTATCATCTGCATATTTTAAATTAGTGATGTTTTTTCCACCAATTGTCATTCCTTCCACTGATTCTAATCCACCTTTCCTTCTGATATGTTCTGTGAACAGATTGGGAGATAAAATACATCCTTGCCTGACACCTTTGCCTGTGGGAAACCATTCTGTTTTTCTCTGTGGTCTCTGTGCATCACACACATATGGGCTTTGCCGTGCAGCACAAGGCCTGGATCAGAGAAACTTCCATAGCTAACACTAGCTTCTTGTCTGTAATACAGGTTACCCATCAAGGACAATTAAGTTATGAGGCACACCCATTTATTTCAGGACCGTCATAGCCTCCTGTGATCTACACAGCCAAAGGCTTTGCTGTAGTCTGTAAAGCATAGACTGATCTTTTCTGAAATTCTTTGCTGCACTACAGTAGCCAACATATATTTGCAATATGATTTCTAGTGCCTCTTCCTTTTCAGAATCTAGCTTGGATGTCCAGCATGCCTCATTCCATATGGGGTAGTATTCTTTGTTGCAACACTTTTAGCATTATTTTGCTCGCATGGCAGAGTAATGCAATGATCCTATGGTTGCTGCACTCCTTTGTCTCTTCTTTCTTGGGGATTGGAATATATATCAAACATAGTTTTGTTTTCCATATTTGATGACATATTTTTGTTAAGATTTGGACTGATTCATTTTTTATAGCTTGGGATAGTTCTGTTGGTATCCTATCTACTCCAGGTGCTCTATTCTTGCAAGAACTTTCAGAACAGTTTTCATACCAGGAAAAAACAAGAAGTAGATGCTTAGAATATTGTAGTAGTTAAATAGGTTCCATGTGTTCCAGTCTAAATTTAAATTAAAAGAGTAATTCGGATAGAAATAAATTTTGTCTAAAGAAGGGTTCCAGAAGTACAAGTTACTGTGGTGAAGAAGTCCAGCACTTGGATCTTTAAGAATTTCCAGTCCCAGGACAAACAAAAAGAATGTTTTTGATCTCCTGAACTTGTTAATAATTTCATTTTGATATCCATATTAGCAATAATAATAATATGCCATAATAAAGCATGAAGTGCAAAATATAATATAAAATATTTAAATTTTATAATACTTATCTAAATGTCCTTAATCGATTGCCTAACAAACTATTCATGTGTAAACCACTTTTTAAGAAACATAGACAAGTATGCTCAGTGCTTAGCTGAACTGTTTTTGATATAACCCCAAAAATCAGGCCAAGCAGAAAAACTCCACTAGGAATAATGTTGCATAAGATTCAACCCACACCTGTTCTCTTGTGCACTTGAATGTGTGCCTTTCATGCACTGTGAATACATTCAGTACTGTTATAGGTTTGCTATCATGTTTTTGATATTTATTAGTGTATTAGAATAATTGATAAAGGTGTTCATAAATTAGATAAATTAAGTCATATTTCTAATATATGGGCAGGCAAAATCAAAACATATATAACTAAAGGATGTTAGAAATCCAAACTAAAACTGGTTTTGGAACATCTCCATAGTTCAAATTCACCTGCCTTGCAACGCACTAACAGGGCATTGATCAGCTGACTTTTACATGTTTAAAATAATCATCTTAAGGCACAATCCTGAGTTATAGAATTTTTCTTTCTAAATTTCTCGCATTTTTTTCATTCACTGCTTCTCTTTTTTGTCTCTAGTCTGTTCTCTCATTTCTTCCTTTGCCACCAGGAAGTTCATTACTCTGCAAGAGCAGTCTTTATTATGCTTAGGTCTCCCTTGGAGAGCTTCTTGTTTTGTAGGATCCTGACTACCTAATATGGTGTGGAATGCCCAGTCAGAGGCTGTTGCTTGTTGCTATGAGGGAACAGTGCTTGCTTGGTAGTACCATTTAGGTGAGCTCCTAGCAGGCTAATGTGGAAGAAAGGCTGTTTAAATAGTAAAGAATAACATGATATTCCTTTAACTATCTCTGTAAATAACATGGCTTGCAATGAACAATTCCTTTTTAGGAAATCCAGAGAGGATTGCCCAGAAGTAACATTTTCCACTTTCTCTTGTTTTTCAGCAGAGATACAGTACAACACTGAGAAAGCTTTTATCCTGGCTTATGGCCATAGCAGTGTGGGAGGGAAGGCAATTTTTAGATAAGTATGATAAAAATAAGGCCCTCAGTAATGAATAAATATGCAACCATGCCTTTGAAATCATGTGGAAACCAGTCAATAGCATTCACAAGTAGCTTGCAGGTTTGCTCCCTTGTAGTGCACACAGTGGTCAAGCTATCAGGCTAGTGAGGATATAGTAGCAAAAAATTCATACAAGTTGTTACTGTATAGCTGAACTATATTTCTTTAAGTGTAGCTTGTATCTCACCAACCAGAATTTTAAGGATATTCTAAGTTATGATTTCAATACAGATTGTTTTCCAACTTTATTTCACAGTATTTTTCAGGATTATATTTTTCTATTTTGTCTTAAGCTTAATGAGTCAGAGCTAGAATTAATCATGCTTAGAGGAGACAAACAATGGCACTTAGTCATGATT